ATCGGTGTCCATATGGGATGCCAGCACTTCAGGCCAGGGCGATAACCCACTGCACCATGGTGCTGGCCCCCATGATATAGATTTTTTAAAATTTATTTATTTAAGATTTTTTAAGGTAAAACAAATTTCATGTATTTCATATATACAGATTTAGGAACACAATGATACTTTCCCACCCTACCCTCCCACGCATAATCACTTTCTCTTCCTTCCTCTCTTATTCCCTCTCTTAATTTTGACAATGATCCACTTTCAGTTTACTTTGTACTCACAAGATTAACTCTATAGTAAGTAAAGAGTTCAACAAATAGTAAGAAGAAAACCACACTGCTCCTCAACTGAAGACACAAGGGCTGTAAACAATCGCCAAATCTCACAGTGTCAATTTCACTCCTGTACATTACACTTTAGGTGCTCTATTAGTTACCACACATCAGGGAAAACATAGGGCATCTGTCTTTTTGGGACTGGCTTATTTCACTAAGTGTGATGTTTCCAGTTGCATCCATTTTGTTGCAAAAGACAGGATTTCATTCTTTTTTTTAATGGCTGAGTAGTATTCCATACCATAAATACCACAATTTCTTTATTGAGTCATCAGCTGATGGCCATCTGGGTTGATTCCATATCTTAGCTATCATGAATTGAGCTGCAGTAGACATGGGAGTACAGGTAACTCTTTCATATGCTATAGTGATACTGTAATAGGCTGTAGGTCAGGTTGGGAGGGGATCCCAGTCAGTAGCCAAATGAGATATTTTTTTGCCATAATAGTAATGTTGGGTTGCAGCCAAGAGGGGAGTTTTAGAGGAAACCCTGGGGGAGGGTGTGATGATATATTTCCCTGGATATATTTTTTTAAATGTTTATTATTTCCATTTTCTTGAAAGGGATATTGACAGAGATTGAGAGGGAAGACAGAGCTTCCAGTCACTGGCTCACTTTCCAAATGACAGGAAAAGCCAGGACTGGGCCAGGCCAAACCTTCCATCTCTTTTTAAGATTTGTTTATTTGAGGCTGGTGCTGTGGCATAGTGGGTAAAGCTGCTGCCTGCAGTGCCGGAGCCCCATATAGGTGCCAGTTCAAGTCTCTGCTGCTCCACTTCTGATCCAGCTCTCTGCTAAGGCCTGGGAAACCATTAGAAGATGGCTCAAGTCCTTGGGCCCCTGTACCCACATGGGAGACCCGGAAGAAGCTCCTGGCTCCTGGCTTTGGATCATCACAGCTCTAGCTGTTGTGACCAACTTGGGAGTCAACCAGCGGATGGAAGACCTCTCTCTCTCTCTCTGCCTTTCCTTCTCTCTCTGTGTAACTCTGACTTTCAAGTAAATAAATAATAAATAAATGAATCAATCTTTAAAAAAAAGATTGATTGATTTACTTGGAAGGCAGGATTACAGGGAGACAGAGAGAGAGGGATCCTCCATCCAGTGGTTCACTTCCTGAATGACCACAGTGGTCAGTGCTGGCCCAGACCTAAGCCAGGAGCCAGTGGCTTGATCCAGTTCTCCCATGTGGGTGCAGTGGCCCACAGACTTGGGCCATCCCTGGCTGCTTCCCCAGGCACATCAGCAGGGCTCTAGTTCTTTTCTGATCCCTGACTATCTCCTTACCCATGTGGTTTCTGCGGAGAGATTCATGAAACTGTGTATCTGGAAGACTGCGAAACTACACCACCACATCATCTTTCCAGAATCTTCTCAACCTCAAGAGAATTTGAAGATATACCGTGTTAGACAATAGGTTGTGAAACAGATGCATCGACCCATCAGCGACCCCTCTGCTTTCAAGCACGCTTGCCCTACTTCCTTCCCAAACGTTTAGATCACTGCAGTTGCTTTTCCCTGGAATGCTTCCCCGACTTCTTTGGAGATTTCCCTCTATGATGGTTTAAAATTTATTTCTTTAGATAAACCTTCCCCCAGTACTTGGGTCATCTGCTGCTGCCTTGCAGGCACACTAGCAGGGAGCTGGATCCGAACAGCGGGACTCGAACCAGATATGGGATAATTTTTTTTTTTTTTTAAGATTTCATTTGTTTACTTGAAAGAGTTACACACAGAGAGAAGGGAGGCAGAGAGAGAGAGAGGTCTTCCATCCACTGGTTCACTCCCCAGATGGACGCAACGGCTGGAGCTGCGCCAATCTGAAGCCAGGAGCCAGGAGCCAGGAGCTTCTTCCGGGTCTCCCAGGCGGGTGCTGGGGTCCAAGCACTTGGGCCATCTTCTACTGCCTTCCCAGGCTATAGCAGAGAGCTGGATCAGAAGTGGAACAGCTGTGGCTCAAAGCCGTGCCCATACGGGATGTCGGGCTGCAGGTGGCGGTTTTACCTGCTACACCACAGTGCCAGCCCCAGATATAGGATAATTTATTTTTATTTATTTATTTATTTTTTGACAGGCAGAGTGGACAGTGAGAGAGAGAGAGAGAGAGAGAGAGACAGAGAAAGGTCTTCCTTTTTGCCATGGTTCACCCTCCAGTGGCCGCCGTGGCCGGTGCACTGCAGCCGGCGCACTACGCTGATCGGAAACCAGGAGCCAGGTGGTTCTCCTGGTCTCTCATGCGGATGCAGGGCCCAAGCACTTGGGCCATCCTCCGCTGCACTTCCGGGCCACAGCAGAGAGCTGGACTGGAAGAGGGGCAACCGGGACAGTATCCGGCACCCAGATTGGGACTAGAACCCGGTGTGCTGATGCCGCAGGCAGAGGATTAGCCTATTGAGCTGCGGCGCCAGCCCAGATATGGGATAATTGTAAGGCCACCACAAAACACACCAAACACCAGAGTAAGGTAAAGAGTTTATTGGGGGAAAGCTGACAGACTGGAGGGAAGGGTCAAAGAAGGAAAAGAGGGAGAAGGAGAGCGTAAGAGAGAGACAGAGGTCAGGAGATGGAGAGAAGAGAGAGCCTGTTCAGGAACAGGTCCTTTTAAAACTTCATGGGGGGTGGTGGGCAGGGAAGTAGGAGCAGGAATCCCATTAGGATGGGGGTGGAGCATGACACCAGTGGTTGGACCATGTGGCCACCTAGCTTCTAGCAATGGTGGTGGGGGCTAGAGCCTAGCATGGTGTCAGGGTGTAGATCGCACCATAGATAAGACTGAGCCCATTTTACTAACAATAATGGCATGGCAAGTGATGACAACGCGCTGCCTGCCTCCCCAGGACCGTTAATACTTGCATTTTACAGACGAGGATACAGGTACATGCGAGGGATAAAGGGACTTGCTGGGTGCCCCACGACTAACAAATGGGGAAGTTGGACTTACACCCAGAGAGACCCTGCAACTATATTAAACTGAAGTTCTCCTTTTGCGCACAGTTCAGACTCACATGATTCATTACAGCTCACCAGTGCGCCAGCACCACGGGCTGACAAGGGTGGGGACCTTCTCTCCGGATAACCACTGCACTCTTAGCTTGCCAGAGGGGGGCTCTACACAGCTGCCCTAAAAGCCCCGCACATAACACCACGATCTTAAAAGCTGGAGCAGGGGTGGGTGTCGGCACAGGGCTTAAGAGGCAGGTCCCAGCGATACTGGATTCCAGCTTCCTGCTAATGCACACCCTGGAGGCAGCCCGCGATGGCGAGTGCTTGGGTCACTGCTGCTCACCAGAGAGACTTGGACTGAGTCGCCAGCTCCTGGCTTGTGCCTGGCCCAGGGGGGCCGTTGAAGGCATTCTGGTTGTCAGTCTCCCAGCCTTTCAATTAAACAAAGAAAGAGCCGGAGGACACCTGGGGATTTCCTAGCCGAGAGCATCAGGAATGGTACTAACTAGCACTCTCGGTGATTTCCGTCACGTTATTTACCCAGAGGTCAGTGCAAATGTGACAAGAGTACACAGTGCTTTTCAAAAATATTCCCTCGCTCATTTATTAATCCAAAAGTATCTGGGCATTTATTAGTCGCCTATCGGAAACACTGCTTGGTATGTACACAAAGTCTACGCCCGCAGAACTGGGGCCTGGAGGCGAATTCTGTTTTTTTTTTTAAGGGATTTTAGAGAACTTGTGGCTGCTTCCTCCACCTGCAGCATCTGCCGGCCGCTGCCTCACTTCTGTCCCAGGGACCACCCGCAGGAAGATCGATCATTCTCGGGGCAAACCCACACCGGACCAATCACCCCCGCCTGCATTTCGCTAACTAGGGCCGCCGACGGCTTTGCTGCAGCCAGACCCACAGCCTACGAAGTCAAGCGCATCGAGGCCACAGAGCGCCCGGAGCAAGGCTTCGCCCCTCGGGGCCTCGAGTCTGCAAGCCCACCCACGCGTCGTGCCGGGCTCTCGCCCCCCGCGCCTCACGCATGCGCCCTAGCCCTGCAGGGTCCCGCGCTCCCAGGCAGGTTCCCGCAGCGCTACGCTCTAACCCGCTCCTCGCGACTGGAGGCGGAAGTGAGGGGGCGGGGCCTCCGGAGCACCGCCCCGGAAGTGGGCGTGGCCGAGAAGCGACCCCCGCAGTTGCCCCGCCGCCTCCCAGTCGGGTTGCGGCGGAGGCCGGTCCTGGCTTTGTAGCTCGCTCAAGATGGCGGCGCAGCCACCCAGCGGGATCCGCCTCAGCGCGGTGAGCAGCCGCAAGGGGTGGAGCGGGCCGTGTCCCAGGAGGGCGGGCAGGCGGGCAAGCGAGGGGGGGCCGGCAGTGGGCGGTGGCGAGTGGCGGGCCCCGCGCGGCGGCCGGAGCCGGGGAGGGGGCGGCCATCTCGCTCCCGTCGGCGGGGCGGCTCGGCGGCGGCGGGCCGGGCAGGGCCGGGGCGGCGCGGCCGGGCTGCGTCCGGTCGCCCTCCGTGTTGGGTTTCTGTTTTGCTCCCGCGGCTTCGGGGCGGGCCAGGGCCCCGGCCCCTCCTCCGGCGCCCGCCTCGCAGCTGTCGTCCGAGGGCGACGCCGCGGCCAGCCGCCCCTGCTGCCCCTGAGCCTCCGCTGCCCGCTGGCCGGAGGGGCGCGGGGACCGCGGCCGGGATCTGGATGGGGCGGGCGCGGCCGTCCGCGAGCTGGCCGGGCCTTGACCTCCTGGCGGCGGCACGGGGACCCGGACTGCCCACGGGCAGAGCCGAGCCGGCCGGGGCGCGTCTTGCCCAGGCGCCTCCTGCAGCCGAGCCGCCAGGCCCCAGCCGCCTGGCGGCCGCGCCTCTGGTTCGGGCCGTCTGGAGTCCTGCATCTTAAGTCGTGGGGAACGGTCACCCGGTGCGACTTAGAGTCTCCGGTCCTCAGACTGGGGGCGTGGCTTCCCCACCTGATTGTCCTGAGAAAGTTTTATTCGCTGCTGGCGCGATGGGTGTTCATATGCAAAGACGGACCTTCTCGCCGGAGGTCTTGGCTTTTGCCCAGAGAGTGGCTACTCCTGGGTCGTTCAATCGAGCGTTCGAGTGGTAAACGCAGCCCGTTCTGAAATGGTGCATTGTTCTGTGACTTCATTCATTCAGCCCGGTTCTTAGCAACGCCTGGCATTGTGGCCGCTTCCAGTGCGATGCGCGTGAAGTGATACCTGGTGTCACCTGCGTTTCCTACTGCTCAGTTGAGCACTTTCCACCTCTGTTATCCTTATTCAGTTTACATTTTTTTTTTTTTTTGGCTTCTACTTGCTATGCAAAGCAGGGGACAGAGAGAGAGAGAGGAGAGATGTCTCGCATCCCTATTTCACTCTGCAAATGCCCTCAACAGGCAGGGGCCAGGAACTCAGTCCAGGTCCCTCACGGGGGTGGCAGGGTCCCAAGCACTTGAGCCATCACCTGCTGCCTTGCAGGGTGCATTAGCAGGGAGCTGGACCTGAGCGGAGTAGCCGGGATTGGAGCCAGGCGCTACAGTACGGGATTCGGATGTGGAAGCCCTGGCTTAGCTCTGTGCCACGACTCCTGCTCTCCTCCCATGTATGTCTTATTTCCTGGAATGGCCTGTTCAGATCCTTTGTCTGTTTTTCTCTTTCTTTTTCCTCGGGAGGGGGAATCTGTTGACTGAGGAGTTCTTTACATGTTCTGGATAGAGGTCCCCTGGTTACATAACTGGTTCATTCACTGATGGAATAGTCTCTTCGGTAGTTTGAATATGGAGAGCTGCTTTTTCTTGCCATTGGCTTTAAGCAGCATTTGTACGTTATTCACTCCCCTCTGTGAATCAGGACTGGTGCGAATACTTTGCAGTTAGCCTCAGGTATTAGACAGTCTGGCCTCATTTAGTTTAAAATCTATTCCCTTTAACCGCCCCCCCCCCCCCAGCTTGGGTCAAGTTCTGGTCCAGAAACCTCTAATGGGGAAAAGGGGCGACTTGGTTTCTTAACTGTTTCTGCTTTCTGATGCTCTTCTTCCTTCCCCGGCCCCTCCCTCGTTGGAAGTTCTGTTCTTCCAAGATGGAGATTAGGGGGCTGTGTTGACCTGTGGTCTGTGATGCTGGCATCCTTTATGAGCCCCAGTTCAAGTCCTGGGTGCTTTGCTTTGCTTCCAGTTTAGCTCCCTACTAATGCACGTGGGAAAGCAGTGGAGGGTCCCGAAGTACCTAGATCCTTGCCACCCATGTGTGAGACCCAGATGGAGCTCCAGGCTCCTGGTTTCAGCCTGGGCCAGCCTGAGCCAGTCCTGGCCATCATGGCCATTTGGGGAGTAAAGCAGAGCTTGGGAAATTTTTCTCTGTCTCTGTCACTCTGACTTTCAAATAAATAAACATATATATTTTTAAGATGTATTTATTTTAAAGGCAGAATCTCAGAGAGGCAGAGACAGAGAGAAAGGTCTTCCACCCGCTGCTTCACTTCTCAAATAGCTGCAGTGGCTATAGCTGGGCAGATCCAAATCTGGGAGCCAGGAGCTTCTGGGTCTCCCGCACGGGTGCAGGGGCCAAGGACCTGGGCATCTTCTGCTGCTTTCCCAGGCCACAGCAGAGAGCTGGACCGGAGGTGGAGCAGGGGCCAGCGCTGTGGCTTAGCGGGTAAAGCCGCAGCCTGCAGTGCCGGCATCCCATGTGGGCACTGGTTCGAGTCCAGGCTGTTCCCACTTTCAATCTGGCTTTCTGCTATGGCCTGGTAAAGCCGTAGAAGATGGCCCAGGTCCTTGGGCCTCTGCACCCACGTGGGAAGACCCGGAGAAGCTCCTGGCTCCTGGCTTGGGATCAGCGGAGCTCCACCCATTGAGGCCAACTGGGAAGTGAACCAGCAGATGGAAGACCTCTGGGCTTCCCTCTGCCTCCCCTTCTCTCTCTGTGTAACTCTGACTTTCAAATAAATCAATACGTCTTAAAAAAAAAAAAAAAAAAGTGGAGCAGCTGGGACTGGAACCAATGCCCATATGGGATGTCTGCACCGCAGGCAGTGGCTTTACCCACTGTGCCACAGCGCTGGCCCCAATAAGTAAATCTTTTAGTAAAAAGATTGAGAGGAGAAAGAGCAGAGATGGAGGTCAGCACAGTTTTGAGGGACCATTATTGTTAGCCACCTGTCTGGGTGTAGCAGCTGAGCACATGCTAGATCTTTCCTTTGTAGGTAATGTGGGCCATTTGGAGCCTCACGGACAGAAGTCTGCCATCTGCAGCTTCTGGACAGTGCTCCACCGCCTGTTTGCTTCTGCTGGAGGACAGAAGTTGGCAAACTACAGCTCGTGGGCCTAATCCAGCCTAGCACCTGTTTTTGTATGGCCTGTGAGCTAAAAATGATTTATTTATGCATTCATAAATGGTTGGGAAGAAGTCAAAGAATCTTTCATGACATGAAAATTATATGAATACAAAACTTCAGTCTCCAAAAAGTTTTATTCGAACATAGCCATGGACAATTCATAGCTCTGAAATGCTTGTATTAGGAAGAGGCCTAAAATTAATAATCTTATGCATTTATCAAAAGCCATAGAACTTAAGGCACAAAAGGTGAACCTTAATGTATTCAGGTTTTAAAGTGTGATCTTGGAGGTTGAGAGATCCCAGATGAAATGCAGAGTGACAACAGCTTTTCCAAATGTTTGCTCCTCCCACCCCCATATTTCTCAGTAAAATGCTTATACCATTTTTTTTATTGTTGATTTTTTTCCTCTAGAAATCCAGATTTCCACTCTGACTTGTCCTTCCCGTAGTTCTGTCACTTTTTTTTGGTTCAATTAGCATGTGGCTTGTTGTTACCCGTACCTTGAGTCATGAATGAGGCACCCGCTGTTACCAGGATTTCGTTGTCTTGCCTATACAGTGTTCTGTTTTCCCTGAGGTTAATAATTGGTTTATGTTTTGTTTGCTTACTTTTCCTCAGTACTGGTCACTAGTTCATCCAGACTGTCAGAGAACAGGAAGATGTTTTCCAGATGTGTTTAGACACACCCAGTATCTTGGCAATAGGGAGTTAGTTGGGAGCCATTGGGTTGGTTGTGATTTGGTGGCTTCCCTATACTATTTCTGTGGAAATTTCTCCCCCCTTTTGTGTGTCCCTCTGAGTGGAAATAGCTGTTGGTTCTTGTCTTCCTGGAAGAAAGGAATTTGGGACATGAGACAAAGTAGTGGTAAACAAGGTAGCAAGGCTTAGTGCATCCTTCAGAACATTCGGACTGGGGTCAGCGAGAATACACCTGCCAGGCCAGGCGAGCACAGGGGAGCACTGAGCGTGGTCTGGGTCAGAGGGAACGGGCGCTAGTTCTCCCTGCCCCTTCTCCTTCCTTCACCCTCTTCTGGACACAGGGCTTCCGGGGTGTGAGATAGATGAAAATTCCTACGACAGTTTTATTACTCAGTGCTGTTTAGACTGGTAACCTGCTTGCTGCTGGCCAGAGAGGATTCTCCTTGGGCATGTTCCTTGGAGGAAGGCTGGTATCACCTATAAATACGAGGTTCTTGCTGTGTAGGGGGGATTGTGTAGTGTGAACGCTGGGCTGCTGGGAAGCGGCCACGTTGCTTTCTGCAGGTGCTGTTTTCCTTAGGCCCCTTTCACACACATGGGCTCATTTCTGTCTTCCTGCCTAATCATATCCCCGTCCCACATTTTGCTCGTTTGGACTCCCTTGGTAGGCACATTAGCTTAGTGACTTGATGGTAGGGCTCTGGTCCCCTCCCTCTTGGGTTCAAATCCTGACTAAAAACTGGATGTGTGACCGTGGACAAGTCACTTAGCCTCATTATGCCTTAGTTTTGAGGCTGAGTGATGCAGATAATAATCTTAGGCACGTCAGAGGATTGTTTGAAAAATTAAATGAGCAAATACACAGGGAGGGCCTGTTCAGGCCCCCAGTGGTGTTTGCCGTCTCCGTTGCTGTCAGTGGTGGAGCACGTCCACCCTTCCGAAAGCAGATGGAGCTTCCTGAGTACTGGATGCAGGAGGGGAAGAGGTTTTTATGTTACTTCTTGAAAATGGTGTTTTCTACTGTGGTCGTTTCCTCTCCCCACTCCTCACCCACCGGAATTTTATTTATTTATTTATTTGAAAGGCAGAGCGACACATCTTCTGTCCTCAAATGGCCAGAATAGCTGAGGGTGGCCCAGGTGGAGCCAGGAGCTGAGAACTGCATCTCGCTCCTGCACATGGGTGGCCGGGGCCGTCTTCTGCTTCCCCAGGCTCATTAGCAGGGCACTGGATCAGAAGTGGAGCAGAAGCAGTGGCTTAGCCTGCGCCGCCACAGCACTGGCCCCCTTAGAATTTGGCTTCCGGATTAGAAATTAATTTTTCTTAAGAATTTTAAAGATGTTCTTTATTGTTTAATAAAGTCAGTGCATTGTACTGGGCACTTAACATAGACATTTAAGTCCTTCAGAAATGGAAATTTTTTTTTACAAATTTCCTTCCATTTTTCTGTTCTCTTTTGTTTCCTGTTTTCTTCTTTCTTCCTTTCCTAGATTTCCTCCACTTTTTCTTAGATTTTTATTTGTATGCACGATCTCATTCTCTAACTTTTAAAAATCTCCTTGGACAAAATGTTGGTTCTTATATTGGTTAAGTATATTAACCATAGTATTTTTTGAAGTTGTGTTTTCCTCACAGTGTTGTCTCTGTTTGGTTTCTGTTTTGAGACGTCCTCAGATGTGTAGAGATGGTTAGCCTTCTACTTACAGACTCCACCAGTGTCTGGCAGTTGTTTGAGAACCCTGAGGGCTTTGCTGATGGGTAATCAGCGAGGAAGGAGCTATGTCATTGCGTCACATTGTGCAGTCTGCTGACTTGTTGGTTTGCTTGGTTTGGTTATTTGTGTGGTAAAATGCACAACAAGACATTGACCATCTTAACTATTTTAAGTGCTCAGTATTGTTGAGTTCATTCACACTGTGTTGTGCAACCGGTCTCTAGAGCTGTTCCACCTGCAAAACCAAAACTCCTCTGTCCTCCCTCTCTTAGCCCCTGGCGAATGCTCTTCTACTTTCTGTCCATTTGACGGCTGTGGGTTCCTCCTAGCAATGGAATGGTAAAAGGGGTCTACAAAAAATTCATGCAAGATGAATACTATGAAAAGACTTATGCATGGGTCTCAGATTTTTTTTTTATCAAAACAATCTTTTTTTCTTCTGTGAACTGGTGCTTCAAGCCAAGGCTTTAACCCGCTGCGCGAGAGCACCGGCCCCATCTATGAACCATTTGAAGCACTCTGGTACAGTCTCTACCTTTCTGTGACTGGCTTATTTCAGTTACCTGAATGTATTCAGAATTCATCCTATTGTGGCATGTTTTAGAATTTCTTTCCTTGTTGAAGGCTGAATAATCCATTCTATGTTTAAAGCTGTGATATAGTAAGAAATGTGTATTTGTTCCTGGTCCCAGTATTTGGCAGTGGAGTTCCTGAAACCCTTAGAATTTCCTGGGTGATAGGGGGAGAGGAGCATCTTTTGTTGTTTATCATGAGCCCATTTTCAGCCTGACCTCAGTTTATTCTGATGTGCTTGTTTGGCTTTTTAATTTGAAAGGCTGAGAGCACTGCCC